CCCTAGCCAAACGCAAAACTGGTGAAAAAGATTCAGAAAAGATGAGGAGTGGCCTCCACCTGTAAAACCATTCCTGTTTTGATGGTCGTCTCGTTGTTGCCCCTCTAGTGCACCTGTTGTTAATTTAATTAACACCAAGCTGAAAACACCAGCTGAAACTGATTAACAACCCCCTCTGCTACTTACCTGACCAAATCAATATCCCAGAAGTTTAATCAACTTGATGCTATACTCTGATCACAAAGTGTTCCTTTATTTTTTTTTGAGTAGTGTAATATTTAGTGTAGTAGAAAAAAAGTTTATCCTAAAATTATAATTTATTATATCTAACAGCGTGATTTTCATTCATTTATTATTTAGCCCTATCAGTCAATACTTTGTGAGACCGACTTGAAATTATAGCTGCAGGTTTTTGGAGGTATGTCTTTAATATTTGTACATGTACTCACTTAATCATCATTCTTTTTTTCTAATGTAATTTAAAAAAAATCTAAATAATTAATTTGGCTTTAAGTTTGGGGTTGTCCTGACGAACATTTTCCCCAGTCTTCAAGTTTTCAGTATCCAACCAGTGATGCTCTACTGAGCCCAATGCACCTTTACCATTCACTTGAACAGGCAACCTTGAAAAGCATCCCTAAATATATATATAAATATACCTTTGTTCCTAATTGTTTACCAAATTCTTTCCAATTTTTGATCATGGGCTGCAGAGGGCTCTAAGAGATTTAGAATTTGTGAATTTGTTTTATAACCTAAAATTTCTTAGAAACTCTAAACAACTTTATTTTTGACCCATCTGCAGTGCTCCGTGCTTTTCACATCTGTTTGTTCATTGATTTACTGTGGCTGTGCTGAGATTGTGCAAATGCAGACTTTTTATTCTTACCAATCTTTTCACTTGTGCTTTTTTGTGTTAGTCTTATACTGTTTCAACAAAATGCATTGTTTTTTGTTTTTAAATGTTTAAATATGAAAAGTGTACAATACATATTTAAGAAACTATATCTGGAAAAATTTAGTAAAGAGCAAACTGATCTGTCTATCTGAAATTCATAATCAAATTTTTATTCCACGTGAATAACGTCTGCTTCCAAATGTTTACAGGATCTCTCCAGCTTACCCTTTTATTATCCTATGTCTTGATTCAAAGACAAAGACGCAATCATTGCATACCATGTGGTTTTGCCAATGCACAGTTATGGGCTAACCAGTGTACAGTTGTGGTTTCTGCATGTTGTGAGTTTCTTCGGAGGGTTTATGTAGGAATCTGTGCAGCTGCTCCTGCCCATAATTGTGATACAAAGATGGGGTTAACTGGTGTTTGATCCTCTTGGTGAACATCTGGTCCTCAGGAAAACTTAATTTTAGCAACCCATGCTGACTGCATTAATGTCCAATTAGAGATATCCTGATGCTGCTAAGGCAGAGGGGACTGAAAAGGGATTTTTACTTAATAAATCATGGAGTGGTAGGATGTATTGTATGTCCACTGATTATGGAAATATATTGGTATTCTTTTAGAAATTATGTTCTGTTGATCCTTAATTCCAGATTGTAGACTGAAGATGAAGAGGATAACGGGGTGGATCAAGGGCCTCTTTAAGATTTAATGAGTTTGGCTCAACCAGAGCCAGTGGCCACAACTTGGCATGTAGACTCATCTAAATGGTGGCCTCATGGCTCCATGGTTGTTGCAGCAATGTCAGTCAAACATTAGTAGGAAGCCATGTTTCAAGGACCACCACCTCATCAGAGAGGTTTGGTTTCCATAGTTTCCACTGATTTATTTAATAGCGCCGACATGTGGAAATCATTAATAACCTTTAGTGGTCAGGATGTTCTAACTGAGGCTGATCTGATTTAATAATCCCATCATTAGATGCAGGTTGTTTAGGTCCACAAAGACTCTGTTATTTTCATTTCTTGTTAAAGTGAGGTCATCTCCTCAGAAGTACAGCTCCTTGCAAAGCTGAACTTCTAACAGAGCTGAACTTCTAAGGAGTTAATGAATAAAAAGACTATAATCTACTAAACACTTCCCCATGGAATTTCTGATAATTGATTGGGCGAAAGAAACACATCAATAGACAAATTGCTTATATTAAGTCACTCTTTGTGTTCAACCTTTGCTCCTCTGAAAAGCTTTCTGTCCACAACATTTTCACAGTGCAGATAGCAGAGTAATAAATCACTACCAAAGGCAGGCAATAAGCAGTTCAAGCTTTCTGATTTGATTTTCAAAATATATTCAGAAACTCATTGCTCCTCTTTCTACTTTACATTGGAAAGTTTCTCGCACATAAATTTCAAGGTGCATGGAGCTGTTTGTTCATATTTGTAAAGTCGATCTCCTGCAGCTCTAATAATTTATAATCTGTTAACGATAGGTTCTGTGTATGCACCTTGATGCTCTATCTATCCGGTTATTTTCCCTGAAATGAGATAACTCGGGACTAACTCTTTAAATAACACTTCATAACTTATACGTATTAAATACCCACGAGATATGAAAACAGATCTGATAGAAATTGTAATCTTACTCAGATCAGAGAAATTGCTTAGACCTCTGGGCTCATCTCTCAGGAAGTTGCCCCGATTTAGAGTTAAAAAGGCATTTTATACACCTCCAGTCTGCCACATCATCTTATTTTACATCATACACGTTAGCAGATGAGTACACATCCATGGCTCCAGCCTTATCAAAATATTACACTTTGTTCTTAGCTGAAGGACAGCGCTCTCATTCCATTTCCAAATCTTTGCCACATACAGAATGCAGATTATAACTGTATATCCAGACAGAGGAACTGTCTTAATTAGATTAACTATTGTGTAAAACATCAGTTCTGACATGCAACTGGCAGCCAATACCAAGGTGTAATAAACTCACACATCTTCAATGAAAATGTTCCTAACAAACCAAAGAGCTCTGGGAATCTGTAACTCAAAATCTAATTTTGGTCCATTTATTATCACGTTATTTTAATCTATCTTTGACATGAAATATTAAAGTTATACATGTACAGTCAAATTCAGTAATAACAATGTGCATTTTGATGAGTCAGATATTAAAGATATAAAAGTGTCTTTAGAAATCACATTAAGCTGGCATTAAACATACCTTATCTAGGGCAGATTTCTGCATATTAAATGTTTTTTATTGGTCTAATAACTTTCTAATCTTAAATCTTTTTTTTATGTGTATATAACATATTACGATTCACTTTGTGACTGAAATATGATTAGCCTTTCAAAAGTGGTGGTATCTGCCTGCCTGCTGTTTTTTACATATCAATTTTAATTTTGCTGAGAGGGAAAGTGTGTTTTATGGACCATAGTGTGAAGGCCCCACCCAGGGCTCATTCATGTAAAAGCAATTGCTGTATCTGTTGTAAGTTGTATTATGTAAGTCAGCTGACTGATCCACCTCCAAAGTTAACAGTTCTACCTCTACCCTATACCCTCCAGACAGAGCTGATACTTGTCATCACTCTGACTGGTTTATTTTAACAGCATTTGTCTACAGCAGAGGTCTTCAATAGGGGGTCCGTGACCCCTAGGGGGGCCGCGGAGGTACTGCATGGGGGTCGCGAAAGTCTTGGTTGATTTTTTTTATATTCCCTAATGCAATTTTATTGCACTAATTAAAATGTCTTTAAATACACATTAACATGAATTCAACGCACTGTAGTAAACATATAAATGGAAGCAGAAGATGTCCTTCAGTCATCAATGGACACATTTAGTGACACACAGGGGCTCTTTTAAACCTGGGCACCATTTCATTCACAACACCTGTCCCATCAACCAGGAATCAGAATTAGAAATACTTTAATAATCCCAGGGAGAAATTACTTTAGTTACATTACTCCCTCAGTAATAGAGTGACTATAGGACCCGTTTGATATAACACAATTTCATACAATATATATAATTATGGGGTCCCCGCTCCATCTCGCAATCAGTTTGGGGGTCCTTGGACTCGAAAACGTTGAAGACCCCTGGTCTACAGTATGTGTGGATAACCCCACCCGCTGGTCACATCCAATACATGTCCCAAATCTTCGGTTGTGGTCTGACTGAAAAACCCACTATTTTCAGTTGGAGAAGGCTTTAGATAGTTTTGTACTAATTGTGTAAATATGATTTATCCCCCTTTTCAGGGTTTTTACATTTTGCACAGGTGGATTTTACTTTTTTTTTCTTTTCTTCCTGAAACCTGGGTTTAAACTCTTCATAATGCTCAATGATGATGAATCTTTTTAATGGAAATCAAATTTGGTAGGTTGTTTAACAAAAATAAGAATTCCAGATGGTTTCCTATTGATTGAGTTGTTTCAGCTTTGCGGTAACCTGAACACCTTAAATCATTATAATGAATTCTCTTCATCAAATTTTTTCAATTTGTCTCGTTCTTTTTATTGAAATTTCAGATTAAATCCTGAAATGAAAAATGTATACTTTGGATCCATCAGGAAACTGAGTCCCGAGAGAAAGCTACAGAGTCCTGTTTGTAGTTAGCCTAAAAGCCAATTAAAGGAGACTACACGCATGGAGACACAGATTCTCTACTTAAATTAGACCAAAGTTGAACTCTTTGGCATCTCTCTAAATGTTCCTTTTCTTCCTAAAAATGGGATGAGTAACTTGATAAGGGACAAGCAATATTATGGGTGGGCAATGGGGATCCACGGAGAAAATGCAAAAAAATTAAACTAGGGCTTTGAAATCACATTTATGTACTATTTCTTATTGTTATTTGACATGTAGCTTGACAAAATTCAGGAATATCAATGGTTAAATCTTAAATTAGGAAATTTAGTGTCTAAGTTACATTTCCAGTCTTATTGGGAGAAGTTGATCGCTTGATAAAGATGTGAATCTTTTAGGAGATTTTTCGTGTGAAAAAATGTTGTAGTGGAAACCAAATCCAGAGGTCAGCAGCCAGGCTAACAATTTATTCTGAACAGAAACACAACCATCACGAACAGAACCAATTTGTGCATCTTTATTATTGAGTCATGGGCTTGTGCACCATATATATGAGAGGTAAACTGTGTTCTGTTGACTTTTCAATACCAGTGCAAGTGACATGCGCAAAGGGTTAGAACACAGGGCTGGAAATCTATTAAATAAACAGGAGAACAACTTTCCATTTTTTTTCTACAAAAACCCCAGAAATTAACATATATACAGATAAACTCACCTTTTCATTTTTTTCTGATTTAACTATGGCAGTTATGTGTTTTTTGTCTGTTTTTTTTGCAGGGCTTTAACAGTTTATATAAATAGTGAGAACATGCTTTAGAATAACTTTTGTGAGGAATGCCTTCTTTTAAAATCGGTAAAAATATCTTAAAAAATATTAAATGATTAACAAAAAAAAAATCCTTATGGATGTTTCTTTGTGGTAGAAAAGAAAATCAGTGGAAAGAAGCGCACAATGCAGAAGTTGCATATATATTTCAGTTTGTTTTTGCACAGATTCTTTGTCATAAAATTTCCTGGATGAATTTGTTGCTTGTGATTTTTGTGGATTTGATGATTTCAGACAAAAAAGTCCAGCTTTAGAATGGCAAAAAAAAACAAACAATAAAAATAAATAAAAATACAGCTGAAATAACAGAATTTACACTAATCATGCATCATAATAGAATTAAAAACACCTTTTATCAAAATATATCCCTTGTTATTGTAATAACATAACAGAATACCTGATTATCTATCAGTGATGTGTCAGAGCAGAGTAAGTTTTGTAAACTTTTACACTTGAAATGCATGTTTTGTCTTTTTTTTAAATCCTGGTTTCACAGAGACCTTACTAGCTAACAACATCATGCACTTTAAAACCTTTACAAAGAGCACTTTTCCTGCCAATACATAGTGCAAACAACTAGAACAGAGACAGCCAATCAAAACAGCAATGTCAATAATCAAGCACGGAGAAACTGTCACCAAGTGTTTCAAACTACAAGAAGAACGACATTCAGCTTACACAAATCTGAAGGAGAAGAAGAGAAAGGACAACATCTTGTGAACAATACCCAACTAGATTTGTATCTACAACAGGTGAACTCTGACTCTTTATGACCGCCTTTCTTTTCAATAGGATGCCCATCTCCTGACTGCTTTTGTTGGAAGAGGCAGCGGCACCACGCTCAGAATGACAAGGCACGGCTACATCTGGTTGGCGTAGGAGGTGGGGCCTCCGACTTGGCTGTACTCAGACGGTTGATCGAAGCTCCCCTGGGTATTGTAGCTCCCTGACTGATCAAAGCTCCCCTGGTTGTAGGGTTGCTGGTCAAAGGTGCCGGCTTGTTTGTCAGGCATGCTGCCTGCTAACCTGGAGCCACCCTTGTGCCAGCTGGTCTCCTTGAAGACAAACCAGATGTTTCCAGCCCACAGAACAAAGTTGAGAAATCCAAACACCTAAGGAGAAATAGCATGGTATATTTTTTCAATATGGTGGCTGTTCACTTATTGTTCATTACTGATATATATATATATTTATATATATAT